CTTCTGTTAAAAAAAATTACGAAGTTCGCTTGTTAAGATTTTTAAAGTGCAGGTCGTTGTTGCCCTAATCAAAATGACAACTTGCTATTTACAAAACTTCTGGATTCCTCCTGCTTCGGTTGTTATTGAATCGACTGAGGCAGCCTAAGTCTCAGTTAATCCAGAAGCTTTGGAAATAGTATCACAGTAGCCTGTGGAAGTATCTTTGAAAAATTAAAATGACAACTTGTTACTTTCGAAAAGTCATAGCATAGAAAAAAAAAAGCTTTTTTTTTACTGTCCGTTCTCCGTTCTCCGTTTATCCGTTCTCTGTTCCAGGGTTTTTCGACGATTACTTCCGAACGGTTTGAGCTACTGGGTTCAAATTTTGCTCCTTTTTAATCATCCACGGGGTGCATAAGATTTGTCATGGCTGCGTTCAAGCTTCAGCGTCTCACTTTTTTTTTATTTTCGAGTGTTTTTTGGACGTTGCTAGGAAACACTATAAGTGTCCGAAATTTGAAACTATCGACTTCAGATTTGGAAAACGAATAGCGCTTGGTCCTCTAATGCAACTTTTTGAAATTGGGGGGGTCGGGAGGTAGGGAAGTATTTTAAAAAAATTAAAAACCGCCTTTGCAAGGGTCCAAGAAAAAAATCATTTCTCGAAAACGGTTTACGCGATTGAAAAAATTATTCAATGTGAAGACGTATAAGATTCGGCTCCATAAAAATTTATACCTGAAAGTTTTTCAAAAATGTACAGGGTGCGCAGAAACTTAAAAATGGGACCCCCTATTATTGAAAGTTGGCTGTAACTGAAACACTCTGATTCGGATGTCAATCAGTTTTACATGGCGATATAGCCCGCATAAACAGCTAAAATTTTTGTATTTAAGGTTTTCACCGGTTGTACAGGGTGTTCAATATATTAAGTGCTAATTTCAAACATTAACAATTGTCTTAAATTTGCAGCTATCGACTTCAGAAGGGCAGAAGCGTAGAAATACACACGCGCATTTTATCTCTTCAAAAAGGACATACTTAAATCTCTCAAATTATTTTTTTTTAATTTTTGAATTTTTTTTTGGTATATTTTGTCTTCCAGAAAAAAATTATTTTCTCCAAAATTGTTAACCTGATCGGCAAAATTTGTGAACCCGAAAATGGGGGAGATTCGGGACCACAACTTTTATTTCAGGGGTTTTTTCCTTTATATACAGGGTTTTTCAATTATAGACAAAAATCAAAAAGAAACTGAAAATCCTTCTTTTCGCTATTGAATTATTAGCCGTAAATCAAAATTCGTGACAAATATGGCCAACTGGATTAAACAGTCTTATAGGCCACATCGGGAGCTACAATTTTTGTATTTACGGTTTTCGTCTATCACATATGCTGTTCGAAATATTTGAGAAAATCCAAATGAAAATCACTATTTCTCGCCCTCAATCTAGACGCGATGACGTCATTTACTAATACCATTACTATTACCATTACTAATACAAGTATTTTCTTGACTCTATTAAAAACAAATCATATACCAGGAAACGTTGGAGATCCAGAGCTATAACCTCTATTTGGAACAGGGTGCATCGTTTATGGGAAAAAATCTAAAACATCCTAAAAATTTCCGTTTTTGGGGCTAAATTATTGCGCATAAATGAAAAACTGCTAAAGATGCAATAATTTGATTTGAATAATATCGTAAAAATATCATTCGACAACGCTATTATTTGTACAAATTTTAATATTTAATAAAGTTAGCTGTAAGTCTGAAGTTCGGTGAGGCACGAAGAACACTTTATAGAGGGTGTATGCACAATATAATTACATCGATTTTTTGAAAGTTCCATAGTGGTCCGCAGGAGCACGATAGAAAAACAATGCGTCCCTTTACCACAAGAAACCGCGAAGCTCTTTCTTTTATAATAAAAAGCTGCTTCGTGCTACGAACTTACCCCACCCATCGACGATTTTTCGCAAGCAATCTAGTTATAATTTGCATATTTCCCAATTCTTAACCACAAGAAAATTGATACCTTCGGTTTGTTGACATGAGACATTTGTGTACCACCTTCGTATGCTCACCTTAGAGTTATCACAATGTTACCTACTTTTTTATCTATTTATTTATTTATTATTAGTTCAACTTACAGCTTGATCACCCAATAACAAGTCGCAATTAACTTAATAATCTAATTTAAAAACTAGCTTAAAAAACTAAATCGTTTCATCTGCAAGATTAACATGCATTTCCGACTTTCATTTCGTTTGTTAATAATTACGCTAACGATTCGCAACTGATTTACTCAAATGAAGTATTTGCTGCAGCTATAAAGATTGACGATGATAGAAAAACTGGTAGATTATCTCAGAAATCATCTATAGTTAACAACGGATAAGGTTGATATAGAGCTTAAAACTGAAGTAAAAATTCTGGGGCTATGGATGGATACTAACATACGATTCACAAAACATGTCAATTTGTTCTGCCAATACTCCTAGTTTAGGAAACTCTATCCAAATCGTAAAATAATAGGATCCAACGTTAAATCATCTCTTTGCAAGTCATTATTTAGATCCAGGTTATCATATGCTGATTCCGTTTATGGTCCGAATTTAATGAGGAGGAATAACGATAGGATCCTGAAAGTTCAGAATGCTCGTTTCAAATTTTCTTACAATAGTAGAAAATATAACAGAATCACTCACGTTATAAGTAGTCAGAAACATCTAAAGCTTCCTTCAGCTCCTCAATCTTACTTAACAAAACATTAAAAACCAACTAATCGTTTTATTTGTCTGAAAAAAAAACAGTTGCTACTTTTACCTCGTCCTCACCCAGCATTACTGCAAAAATTTTTTTCTTAATCTCCTACATTAATACTCAACTTACCAGTGGATTTTTTAAACGATTTATCATTACTTAATTAAGACGAAGGTTTAAAATATTTATTTTTGATTATGAAAAAATTTTTCCTATGGCTTTTATAAGCACTGGTAATGCTTGTTAATTGTTTAGACGATGGCTTGTTTGCTTTTTTTTTTGTAAAAAAAGCTTATGTTTAAAGCGCTTTTTGGGTGATACATCGCTCATCATCCTTTTTTAATGTATATAATAATAATATAATAATAATAATAATAATAAAAATAATAATTGTAATAAAATGGTATTTTTTGCACAGTAATGACCTTTACACATGCAATCGACACCGGGTACGCGTCCCAATCCATTCTCAGCTCTTCAAACATATTAGCAAAAGAAAACGTATCCGCCACGGTTAGCAAAAAAAAGCAATTGCCCCCATGCGGCGAATAAATAAATTACAGTTGTCAAACAGAAACTTGATTGCTCCGATCCCGTTTCTCCCGATCCCAAATATCTTATATGATAAAATTGTTTTTCTCGCGCTTTATCTCCATATAATGGAAAAAAAAACAATCGCCCGTTGAGGGCGGGTAAAAAGGTCGAACCTCCGGAGCGTGTGTAGTGCCTTTGAATCCCGACACGCCATGTATAGATATAGAACGCACGCTCAATTGCCACCTTTATCCCCTTTTGCAATTTACCATTGAGTGGAAGGTTCGACCTAAAGTCATTCGGGGTGATGGATGGCCATTAACGCGAAAGCGCTGCCATTACAACTCAACCCGAGATACGTTAAATTTATTACGGACACTTGGTACATCCTTTTGAAACATGCCGACCCTCTCATGTTCTGTATAGTGGCCCTGTTTCCAATTGTATCACGATTTTTATATAGATGTACAATATGGCACCCTCCTATTAACCAATTTAAAAAAATAGTAAGCAAAATAAAATCGTAAAGTTGAAATTATATTGGGATCTATACAACGTGGTCAAAATAAGTGTGGGATAGCTTGGGGATATCGAAAACCATAGGAACCTGCCCGCAAAAAGCAATCGTGGCCTTGGGACTAGAAGAAGATTTTTTCATTTGCTTTCCAGCTACGCTGTAGATTTCTAAATTATGGGCGAGATATTGAATATTTTTATTATTTTTAGGATTACCAAAGCAAAATTCGTAGTACGGTATGATCGCTCTAGGCAGATATTTGAAAAACTAAAAGTTTAGAATTTCTAATTAAACATAGTTTAAACATTAAACATTAAACATTTCTAGTAAACATAGTTTGGAAGAAAAAAATGTTCTAATTGACAAATGAATTTATTAAGAGTTTAACTTTATTCAAAATACAAAAGTTAATTAGAAACGTCGCCTTTTAATTTATATCAAAATGGACAATAAGTTCGACTTGTTAAAATGCTACATTTTGTGCCATAGTAATACTAGAGAAACTGGGCAGATGTATTTAAATACCTACAATAAATTTTTTTTTAAGAACATTCAAGTTTTGAATCTCGAAAACAAATGATAAAAATATGTTTCGCTTTATGTCACAATATTCTTCTTAAGTTTATTATGGATTTTTTACACAACAGAAAATTAATTTTTCCACACATTCGGGGGCCTATTCAAATTTCTCATAAAATTCTTCAAAACTCCTAATTTACTGTTTCGGCATCCTCATCCTTATATTGGATAAGTTATATGTTCCTCATTATTGCTCTCTGGCCGATTCTGGAAACCTAGATTCCTTTCCATTCGATTGGAAGTTCTTAGTTCCTTAAGATTATTTGAGTTCATTTAAGTCCTTACACCTGCATGGCAATATAATAAAAAATGTAATATTGCAATAATATTAGAGAGGCTTGGATAGATTTCTGAATAATTTTGATTAATTGTGTTCATCATAATCTCTCATTAAAAATATAGCTCCCAAAATCATAACTATTTTCTAATTATTGGTTCTGGTTTGAACCATCAGCTCAGATAAACGTTTTTGTCAACATCCTGCGAAATAATTCAGAAAAGTAGAAAACAATAATGAAAAAATAAGGTGAATTGAGCTCACACATTCCACAACATATGAAACTGTTGGTTCAGTAGTGAAGTTGTTGGTGCTGGGACCTCGAGCTGTTGTTTCTCTTGCAGATTTCGGACGATGATCGGATGTCCCTGACCACCGCCGTCTCCGATGAAGATGATGGCGAGAGCGTCATGAATTCACCTTACAAAGCTAAGCAAACTGGTACAGCAGCCGCATCATTCAACTGCACTGGTGCAGTGAGGAAGGCGGGGTGAGTACCCAATAGTCCACTGAGGCAAATATCAAAAAACTTCAGTGTCGTCATAAGAGAGTAAATAAATATCAAAAACGTCACAAAACATCATTCAGCCGATAAATTATTATCCGCCAGAGAAAGAAAGCCAGAATATTTAATATTATTTTGTAAATCGAAATATACCTTTTTTATTAATACAATTTTAATGATTTTTGGCAGTGGATTTTCATTCAACAGCAAAAACATTATCCGATGATGCGAGATTTGGAGCTTCAATGGCAATTATTTTGACGATGTTAAAAAGATTACAATGTAATGCAAATTTAAAATTTTAAAACTTGGGTACTCAAAATTAAAGTGCTGGATAAATTTTTGCCAGATATGCAGATTCGATGTGCTTTGAATATTAATGCATGTAACGTTAAAATGACATTTTTTGGTAAACCATGTCCGCAGAAAATTAACACGAATACAGCACCCGGTGCGACAATACAAATCACGGACTTTACTTTTAATTGCAAATTGCGAGATTTGTATTAAAATATGGCGCGAAACATTTTGCGCCAACAAATATTTCTCTATAGGACGGACGGCCCGGATGTTAACGTAACAGCTAATTTAGCTAATTTGGATGGACTTAAAAAGAGCAAAATTGCGCAATATAAGTTTAACTGTCAGTAGGTTGCCCAGTTGTAAAATAAAAAATTTTGTTAATGTTGATACAAAACCGTCATTAAATGGTGTAATAATAATATGTTTTTTATATATATCTTGTTACCTTGTGCTTCAGTATTACATTTTTCAGGAAATTCAAAAAATAAAACTTTATTATAGTTTAAATTATACTAATTTAAAAAAAGTCACTCCAATTAGGGACTTGGGTTTTATTTTTTTATGAAAATGAACTTTTAAACCACATGTTGAGAAAGGTATTAGCTAATCGAACAAACTTCTTCTCTTTATTAAAATAAATACCAGAGATTTTAAGAATCCCGAAGCACTGACATCTAATGCCTTTTTTATATAGCAAACTGTCATTTGCCTCAGTAATTTGGAATCCAATATAAGTGGGATATATTAAGCCTGTCGATAGCGTCCAAAATAGGTTCCTTCGGTTTTAAAACAAATTTTCCGGTAGAAAATCGCTATTATTGCCAAATAAAATAATTTAATGCTTTTTAAAATAGTCAACTGTTTCGTGGACTCTTTCTGCCCCTTAAATTCCATTAAGTTCAAGATAAAAATTCAAGAACCAGACACTTGTTTAGGATCCAGCAAAAGTTCTTGTCGTCAAATAATAACCAACAACTTTTTCTCGATTTGGTGAAATTTGATATTCATACTTTTTTAGTCTGCTCCTCGTTTGTAATATCTGTTCTACAAAAATGGGTAGGTAATTTTCCTGTGGCGACTAACTCCTTCACTCTTTTCCCTCTGCGTTATATCGATCAGAATTTTCTTCTCTACTGTTGTTGAAAGATGTTTTCGATGTTTTCTTTTCCTTGTTTTTAATCTCATCCGATCACCAGGCGTCCACTTTTTTTTTGGTAGTGTCTAGGAAGTGGAATTAAGAAACCTGAGTGTTTTCTGAAAAACTAATATTCTGACAGAACTGGATTCGCGAAAATTTGTAAGGGCAACGAGGTACAGGCACTAAGAAAACGGACGGTCTTAGAAATTTGAAAAAAATGAATAAACTTCAGAAGGGAAAATACTGGAAGTTAATTTTAAAAATTGAAATTACTAGCTCGATTTTTAACCGTAGTTAAAAAGCATTATTATTAATTATTAACCAGAATCTACTAAATGAAATGCTAATTTATAGCTTTGATATCGTTGTCCGTTTTCAACTAACTTATTATAATGACTGATTTTCCCTTAAAAAAGTCCTGGATTAGAACTCAGGACTCAGTTTAAAAAGGATGTTTTTAATGAAATAAATATTTAACAAATTAACTATTTAAAGCGGTAGAAAATCAAGAGAATACTTTTTACAAAACTCCTGGATTCCTCCTGCGTCGGTTTTTGCTTAGTCGAAATTGCTGACGTTTTTATTTATTGCTTGAGGGGCGAGGGGGGGGGGGGGGCGCTAATGAGGCGTGTAAACGCCGTCCCGGATGACTGATTCCCAGATTGGAGACAGTGACTCGCGAACAATTTGTTAAGTTGTTTATAGATTTCTATAGACTCTCGGATTTTTCGTTGGTAGAAGAACTGATTACATGCAAGAATTTTAGTTTTATCAAATAAAATTTTATGCCCGGTTTCATGAGTGTGTTCGGCAACAGCTAAGTAAAGCACGAGCCTGTTTCAGTCAAGCTCTGAAGAAGTCAACAGGATGATTGGCGAAACGTCAGCAATTTCGACTAAGCAAAAACCGACGCAGGAGGAATCCAAAAGTTTTGTAAAAAGCACTACAGAAGCCTGTGGAAGTTTTTTTGAAAGGTTAAACAAGAGAATATTTCATTTTCATCAAACTACAGGGTGCGGCAAAAAGGTAGGCAGGATTTCAAATAGTAGTTGTTCGGTTTCTAAAACCGGCAACACTGTGTACGCACTCGCGTTAGGCAGGCAAAAGTATGCAATTTTCAGTTATCGACATGGCTTGGAGCGGAGTGCATCGTGCTTTCGTTGTCGAGGAGTGTATTAGAAATGGGGAATCGGTAATAGCGACGCAGCACGCCTTTCGTAATCAGTTTGATGTGGGTAGGCATGGTGCGGTTCCGGATGGAAGAACAATTCGTCGGTGGGTTTTATACTTCAGGGAAACAGGTTCTGCGCTTAATCGAAAATTTACTGGCCGACCAAGGACAGTAAGAACACCGGAAAATGTGAATGCAGTAAGAGTTTCCGTCTCCAAGGCGTTCGTAAGCATGTAGCTGCTTTGGGAATTCCCGATAGAAGTGTTCGAAGAATTTTTCACAACTCATTCTAGATGCATCCGTACAAAATAGTGGTAGCGCAGGAATTAAGCGCAAGAGATTTTGAAACCTGTACAAATTTATGCCGGGATATTCTTCCAAACATTCCCAGAGGCGCTGTATTCATGTCTAGCGATGAAGCTCACCTTCACCTCTCGGGTACCATAAATAAGCAAAATTTCCGTTATTGGTCAGCAAATAGTCCACAGGAGCGACCTCCTCACAGTCCAGAAGTCACCGTCTGGTGTGCAATCTCGGAGTTCGACTTGTGGGGTCCTTACTTTTTCGAAGAAGATGGAATAACGGTAACAGTCAACGGAGATTGATATTTTGATATGCTTAACAATTTCCTGCTTCCAAAAGTAAACGATATGAACAACGATCAAAGAAAACATCTTTGGTCCCAGCAGGATGGTGCTACATCGCACACAACGCGTCGTTCACTAAATCTTCTTCAAGAAATGTTCCTAAACAAAGTGGTGTCTTTACGGAGTGATCTTGGCCGGCCGTCACGTTCGCCTGATATGTCGCCTTGCGACTTTTTTTTTTGGGGTTACCCTAAAGCGAAAGTTTTCACACATCGTCCGCGGACTTTGGAAAAATTAAAGGCAGCCATAAGACAAGAATGCCTCAATTCCCCAAGAAATGATCCATCGGGTAATGATGCGCTTCCGCGAGAACCTACAAGCGTGCATCGACAATAATGGCCGTCATTTAAAAGACATGATTTTTTAAAAATAACGTTCCTAAATGGCATAAAATTTACATTTCAAAAATAATTAAAAAATCATTTTGCCGCACCCTGTATTGAAAATTAGAAATGAATTGTTTTGGTCAGAAGAGACGTTTAGTTCATTTTTAAAATTAAAATCCCCAATAATAAATTTGATTCTTACTTGATAAATTATTGATAAATAATTAACTACTTTTTATAAAACTTCTGGATTCTTCGGTTCGGTTTTTGTTGAGTCGAGTTAACGTTTCGCCAATCATCGGCTGAGTCTAATATTGAAAATCCTGAAGGCATTGCCCTGAAATCTCTAAAATCTAATCCCGACATCGTAATCCTAAAAGCAGATAAAGGAAAAGATACGGTGGTCATGGACACAAATGAATATCATGAAAAGATTGAAGATATTCTTACAGACGGATCATATCGTCAACTTAAAAAAGATCCTAGGTACGTCATCTATGGAACGCAACCTTAAATCTATCATTAAAGCTTCTTCTCTATCAGACTCCGTAAAAAAATATGTCACCCCTCATGACTCTAAAATTCCTCGTCTCTACGGACTCATGCGCCTCATTTAGCTACGCCCCCCTCAAACAATATAAAAGCAGGTACAGTGTAAAATGCGAGCCAGTTTCAGTTTTATCAAATAAAATTTTATACCCGGTTTCATGAGTGTTCGGCAACAGCTGAGCAAAGCACGAGCCTGTTTCAGTCAAGCTCTGAACAAGCCAACAGGAAGATTGGCGAAACGTTCGCTATTTCGACTCAATAAAAATCGACGCAAAAGAAATCCAGAAGTTTTATAAAAGGTATTGCAGTAGCCTGTGGAAGTTTCTTTGAAAAATTAATTAATTAAAAGTAAAATTGGGCTTTTAAAGGATGTCCAAATTATAACTTTAACAGCCAGTAGCTGCTGAAGTTATAAGGCGAAAAATTCTTTAATGTTCATATGAAACATTCAAATAAATATACATAGTCCACTGGTATATATGGTATTGTAGAATATACTGGGAGATAAATCTTTCAAGCGTCATAGATATAACTATGAAATTTTGGTGACGGCTTGCTAACAGGCTGATTATTATATTATGGCATGAAATTTATATTATCGGATAAAAGTCGTCTACAAAATTTAGCATCTTTTGCAAAATCTGAAAACAAAAGTGTGCCGATTCTTTATCTAAAAGTTTGATAACAGCTCATGGTATTTTGAACCGTTTAGGAGTTAAAGAAATAGGCGATGTATTTAAATATAAATTATTTTATTTATACCAAATTTATTGTTAAACATTAAAGGTAACGTCTCTATTGATATTTTGTTACCTTGGCAATTCATGAATATTTATAATTAACAAAACACA